CAGTATATTTTTTGTTGAGAATATGTTTTAGAGCGGCTGTGATTATACTAGTATGAATTTTATGCCAGGTAGTTTCAAGAGATTCTGGGGTGAGAGTTAAAGAAAGTGTGTGGTGAGAGTCAAGATTGGTGCTGACTTGGTTTGAGAATTCTTCCCATTTTGTTTCATTCATAGGCTTGTAGTTAAAGACCCTTCTGCGAGTGTGTGTTTTATGTCTGTGTTGGCTCTGCAGAGCATATGAGAAAGACCAGCGAGAAATGAGAATTTTGTGGTCACTTAGTGAGTTAGTATTTGTATCATCAATAGTAAAGAAATTAAAATAAGTTAAGATAGTGTGACAGGCCCAAATGAAATCGATTTCACTGCTAGATCTAGAATTGTGCCATGTAGGAGCAGATGAGGAGATGTGTAAGGAAAGATTGTACATGTTATTGTATGTAAGAAATTAGAGAAGTTTGTATTTGATAGAAGAAGAGTAAATGTTGTTAGTAGAGGTATTGAAGTCTCTAAGTACTATAGGGAGTATATTATGAGCATAAGCATTTTGTATCCATTAGATAATTGTGTTCTAGGTTTGAAGTCTGTTTGAGCTGTTGTTACAAGAAAGGTATGTTGAGATAATACGAAATTTAAAGTCATGTTTAAAGAAAAGGTCAATTGAAATAGCATAGCCTGGAACAGATTTAGTATTATGTATATAAGGGGTTAAGAGGTTGTATATTATAATGGAGGTGCTAGCTTTTGAGCTATCTGTACAGGATTGAAAGTAAGTGTAGTATGATGTTTTGAGAGGTTTTAGCATAAGACTATTGCTAGCGAGCTTGGTTTTGGTTAAGCAGATAATATCAAGGTTATTGGAGAGACAATAATATTCCCAGACTTGCTGCTTAAGAATTTTGTTGAACCCTTGAATATTATATATACAGATTGAGAGATTAAGAGGGGATGGAGAGTAAGTAGTTTGTGTATCTGTTTAAGAGAAATGTATCTAAACCAACGAAGTAGATCTTGAAAGGAAAGAATGAAATAATTTGGAAGTAGGTAAGTTTTATTAGGTAGATATATGTGAGCTTCTTCATAGTTGTTATCTTTGTCTTTTTTGTTAAGGATAGAGATTTTAATATAATAAGGTGATAGTATAAAGTAAACTCCTGAAAAATATAGTATAAAAAGGTGTGAATTGTTTGTAGGTGATGAAGTGGAGGTAGTTTATAATGAAAGAGAAATTTATTATAGCATGTAAGAAGGTCTATAGTTTCGAGTGTTTCTGTTACTTGAGTAATTGTTTCATAAAAAAAGTAGTTTGGTACATAGTAATCTTCACTATTATATTCTTCTTCTGATATTACTTCATATGATGAGCATGATGAGTCAGAAAGTTGATTGTTGTTGGTGCTTAGTGTAGTATGTGGATTATAGAGGTTTAAAGATGTTGAATATGATACCACATAAGAATAGTCTTCTATGTTAGTCACATATACCCAGCTTGCATGGTTCCACAAGAGTTAGCAACAATCAGGTTGGATGTTAGAGAGTTGTTTAATTCTATCCTTTTCGAGTAAATGGGCTTAATCACCTGCCCACTTCTCTCTAACTATGAGGGGTGTTCTTTTAGAGAAGTGGTGGCTGCATTAATATGAGGTGTAGAAGACATATTTAATGAAAAAGAGATTTATTATTAAAAAATAATGAATCTTCAATAGTTGTTGGAATTTGAAAAGTAAGGTTGTATTTGGAGGAAATGATTTTTTCTGCTTTGGGATATGCGAATTCTTTATAAAACTTTGTGAGATGGAAATAAGAAGGTTGTTATGTAAGTGTGAGGTTATAATAAGTAATAACTCTAGCTAGAAAGTCAGTATTGATAATGTTATTGGTAAGTTTTTCTATAGCCTGTTCTTTGGATAGTTTGTTAAGTTGTAAGCTATATGCTGCTTTGTGTTGATAAAGTGTTAGGTATTGGTAAAAGAAATTATTATGGCGTTTGGTTAAGGTGTGTGTAAGGTTGTTGCTGATATATTCTTTTTCTTCATCATCTGCTATTTTATCAAGAAGTTTGGTTGGGATAGGTTTAGAAAAAGTAGCTTCATGTTCTGCACCAGTATCGAATATATTTGTTTGAAGTGAGATTTGAGGATAGTCAATTTCTTTAGAATATTCTTTATATGATTTGGATAGTAAATCTTTAAAGAGTTTGGAAATATCATATTTGTGTTCAGATATGTAGTTGCAATCTATATGTTTGCAGATAAGAATATGATAATTAATGTGTCTAAAGCATTTATCACAGCAGTCTTCGTAGCATTAAGGTTTGAGAAAGTTATCGAGTTTGGGAGGTAAGAGTTTTTTGAGGTGAGAAATAAAGTGTTTGTGGATTTGAGATTTAAGAGTAGTTTCAACTTTCTCTTGAATGAGTAGAGTTTTAAATTGATGGTTATAGATAGGAAAGAAGTCTTTAAACCAATTATTGAAATAGTCTGAGGAGTTTTTTAATGATGGAATAGAGAATTGAGTATTAAAGAGATATACTGGGAGGTTGAAGAGTAGTTGTTTGTTGAATTTGTCATCAGATTTGATAGTAAGGTATTTTTTATTTTTGTTAGTAGATATGGTGTGGGATAATAGTTTGTAAGTTTTAGAGCGAAGGTTGAGGTTATTAGCAAATTTGTTATAGTCAATTGCTTGGTAATGGGCTAGATTGAGACAGAATTGTAAGTGGTTTTCAGGCTTATATAGGGGGATAGTAGCAGGTGAAGCAAAAATCTCAGTGTAGTTAAGTTTAGTAAAGAGAATAGTTGTGAATTTGGAAATAATTTTTTTAAGAGTATCTTCAAGAATATTAAATGGTATAGTTGCTTGTTGGTTAATAGAGGAGTTGATTTGGAAGATGTATTGGGTCAAAAAATCAGGTCTTTCGCTAGCCATAATGCAGATAATATGGTAAAAACTTGCTTTAAGTGGTTGTTTGTTGGAAAATAAAGTTTTGATAGTAGAACCTGGATAGAAGTTATGGAGATGTTTTTTGAGCAAATTGTAGAGTTCTTGTAAAAAGGGTATGTGTAGTTTGGTATGAGGCTTTATTTCTTTGGTAATAGGGAAGTTAAGGAGCTAGTCGTAAGTAGGTTTAAGTTTTGTTCTAGGTTTGGGTTAGTTTTGGATAGTTGTATTGGGCTGGGTTGCTTGGATATAGGAAGGTTTTGGGGAGGTTGGTGAGGTGGGAAGTTGTCCTGTGACTGTTGAATAAGATGGTTGATTAGTAGAAGAATGTGGTTGAGGGATAGACTGATTAGAGAGTGTAGGTATTAAAGAAGAGGTATTAATTCGAATTAGAGAATTGATATCCATAGTATTAGTACTGGGTGGAGAGTTTGAAGAGGTAAAGAATGGTTGTTGTAAGTTAATTGCAGAGAGTGACGTGGGTGGAGATTGGCTTGATGTATTTTGGTTAGAAGTATTTTATGAGGTAGTAAATTAGAGACAAGAGAAGAGATAGAAGGAAAAAATAGTTGGAATTCAGAAGTAGGTGAAATAGGGATTTGGGAAAGAGTAGGAGAGGTAGGAATATTAGGTAGAGTTGAAGAAATATGGGGAGGGTTAATAGTTAAGGGAACTTGTTGAGAGGTTTGGTAATGAGATTGAGTGGTGGGAGGGTGATTGGAGGATTGGGATGCTTGTTGATTGGAGAGTGTTTGATTGGAGAACAAGGATGCTAGTTTTTGTTTGGATTGTAAAGTTGTATTAGAGATTGATTGGTAAGAGGTTGGTGTAAGTAGTTGGAGAATATCATTAGAGAGTAAGCATAATTTGTGATAAATATTATTTATGAAATAGATTGCATTGTCATGGAGGTAGTGTCAATTTTCTTGTGAGTCAAAGTTGCAATTAATAAGTAGTTGGCATTTAATACATAGGTGAGAGCAAGGAGTTAAAGTTACTTGTTTTGAAGGAAAAGGAGAAACAAATTCGGTAGTTTGTTGGAGTTTCTTAGACATGCTTTTGCGGCCACTGTTAGAGTTTACTTTGGTTAGGTTTTTATTGTTTAGATTGTAAGTTGTATTATTTGCTGAGATAAATTGTATATGATATTTATTGCAGAGACAGAAAACTTTGGCAGTAGTATTTGGTGCTTTAAAGAAGTGTATAGCTTTCTCATTTTTATGTAGATGTGTGAAACATTGAGCTGGTTTGAGATTAGGTAGAATAGGTCTGCCAGTAAGAGGTTTTTCATCATATACCCAGATACCAAAGTGATAGGGTATTGACTAAAAAAAGCGTCTAAATCAACTGTGTTAGGTAAGGTATCACTAAGAGTAGGCATTATTAAGTGATAATATTAGTTAATTTGAAAAGAGCTGTGATTAGCTTCACAGTGATACAAATTTTGTTTTATGTAACATTATGTTATAGAACCTTCTAGATACTGCGGCTTGTGTAACTACGGCTTGTGTAACTGTGGCTAGTGTGGCTAATATAGCACAAGTTGTGTTGCATAACTGTAATTTAATAGGTGCAAAAGCATTGATAAAGTTTGATTTTATTAGTTGATGATAATCAACATAATTAAAAATTCTGATTGGTTAATTTAATAAAGTCATATCTACTATATATCGATTGCGCAAATTACTTATCAGTTATGTAATATAACCTCACACGTATTCTTTTACTAGTATTTTGCGGGAAGATATTGATTATCTTTTCGTATAAGAGGCATTACTATTATAATATTAATGTTAATTCGGTATTTAATGTTAATCTACATGTTAAGACTAGTATTAATATTAAACAGCAAGAAGCTAGTTATATAATAAATTTGCGTTGTTTTCATTGTTTTTTATTTATTTTTTTTTTTAGTATTATAGTTTTTTTTGGTATTCTGTATATAAATTGTAATTTATTCTTCGTCTTTTACTATCAACACGTTATTTTGCTTTAAAACTTAAATTTATAAAACTTTTGATAAAATTTTGAATAAAAATTTCTAATTATGGGTTATCTAAAAAATGAAGAGCCATGCTCTGTCTATAATTGCAATGAAAATACTAATCGCTTTCACCAATTTACCCAATTGGCATATGAAAAAGCCCAAAAAAAAAGAAGTTATGCTGATTATAACTACTTAACAATTGGACAACAATTGTGTCATAATCATTATATGCGCATTGTTGAACCTGATAGACATCAAACAAAGGCTCCTAGTTCTGTAGAAATAGATAAAGATCAAAGTTACAAGTATAATGAAAATCAAACAAACAATAATATTGTGGCTCAAGGTAATAAATATATTATTGGAAAGCTTCAATGCCTAATCGTTAAGTAGGTATTAGTAGTGACAGGAACGATTCTTGATCCTGTAATTCACAGGACTAAGAATCATTTCTGTTACTACTACCGGTAATTAGCAGTGTATCAAACACATGATTAGCACTCACTTCGTTACTTTTTTTTTTAATCTATATTTTATTAAAATTAGCAAATTATATATTTGTTGAGCAATTCAAAATGCTTACAACTCTTCTATATAAAAAGCATCATGAATCTAATAGCTTAGAACTTGATCTAGCTTGTTTTCAACAAATGATTGAAGCAGCAGACCCACGTTTAGAAGGCTTCTTTAATCAAATGGTAGAAATGCTAATTTCTGATACTAGATCTACTTACAACAAAAGTCGAGACAAAAAAAACTGTTGTAAGCTTGTGCTATTTAATGGCGGGAATTAGAAATAAATTTGTAAATGACTTCAAGTTGGAAGTTGGTCTATATCTTTTGGCATTGGGAATATCACACACTGCAATTGACACAATGCACAGTATCGGGGTCTCTTGTTGTTATCAGACTGCTAATAATTATATGCATAGGATCATAAATGAACATCCTAAAAAATAAAAGAATATTTCTCTGAACAGGTAAGTATATAATAAGTATTAAAAATGTCAATATTATATATTTGCTCTCATTGAATGCTAAGAGAAAAATTGTGCATTCTTGAATTTTTACTAATTTTTATTGGCAAAATTAGTAAAAATTTAAGAATACACAATTTTTCTCTTAGCACAGCTCAAAAACATCTTCAAAAATAAAAAAATTAAATTAGCACAATTAATAAATAAATTCATAATAAACCAAATCTCAAACTACAAACATTTTCATACCGTAATGCTAATTAATAAATAAAGTAACTAAATTAAACAGTTTCGTATATAGGATAATAATTTGTACGTTTTTAATTTGGATGATTATCATAATATCCATGAAAAAAGAAGTCCAGATTCTGTATACTTATCTGACGCAAAACATATGGCAACTTGCGTTTGCAAACAAGTATCAGCCTGTGCACCAGTTCCTCTAGTCTTTAATAACATATCAATTCATAATCCAATGAATATCAATGCAAGTAATATCTGTTTTCGGTTAATTCATCAGTACCATGGAATATTCGATATTGCTTACACGAATCGTAAGAATCAGTGGCTTAAGTATAATAACCTAAATATCAATAACTTTGATAGAACTGAATTACTTATGATTCATATATATGATAACGAAATTTTAGAGAAAAAAAAAGAAAGGTCAATGGAAGGCGTAAGATTAGTTGGGATTAAAGAAGGAAATCTGCATTCTATGGAGGATTATATAGAGGCACTTCAAATTATTTTAAATATTAATAATGATATTAAACACTTAGCTAATAGAGTTGCCCCGATAGTGGCAGATTGGCTAGGACAGTTGTTTATTCGCAAAGCAATAACAAATTTGTATAAAGCGAATTCACAATATCATATTCCAGCTGAGATTAATTCTTTAATCCCAATTATTGGGCCTCTTCATATCTCCCTAAATAGTAGATAGCAAGTGTTAATAACTTATTATCCTTTTTTTAAAAAGATGTTTCACTTCGTATTTGGTAAAAAAAAAAAGCTTGCTAAAAAACCAAAGCCATGGAGGATTAATTTACTTTTTGACCTCACTTATAATGGATAGTGTAAAATCCGAAACTTAATTACTGCAAAATTCGGTTGCTGTAAAGATATCAAATATTGTATGGTTATTGATTTACTAGATAACGTGATTCCAACAGCTCTAGACATTTATGCTATCCTTTTCCGGTCCGGTTCATTTGACGAATACGTGGAAACTGTCTTTCGGTTCTGGACATTTGCTCTTAAATGGAATCAGCGCAATTATAATAAAGTGCCCTTAGTATTCTTATCTAATATCTTTTACTGGCAAGATACTGACCATTCTTTTGCTGAGGCTATAAAATTATTTTTAGTAAATTTTAATGATTACTATGTTGAAAACATGCATGGTAAGATACGATCACATACCTTTGCAACTAGTAGTATTAGTAATATAATTAAGCAGGCTTATGTAATTGGTAAGTTTTTTTTTTTTTTTTCTGATAAACTAATAAAATAATCAATAATATTATTAGATGCACAAGCTCATTGTAAACTTAAAGACACATTTGAAAAAACACGACAGTACCTATATAAGCCACATGAGTTAGATTTTCTTACAGAAAGAACGGCTTTATTCTTATTAGAACACTTTCGCAAACTCTTTAAAAATCATGGAAAAAGTAAACTATGTGGAATGAATAAGCATAAAAAGAATCTATATAGGTTAATTACCTTAGAAGAAACAGTTAATGCAAAATGCCTTTCAACAACATATAGTACTAGTATATCTCCTCGGTCAGATGTTTGTAATATTGTCATCAAAATCTTAGAGACGGTGAAATACTGATCTGTGGCCATGGGTACCATTTCTAATGCTATCAAAAAATGGAATTTAGTTGTCATCCTTGTGAAGAATATTACAAGCGCGGAATATATAACAATGTGAAATCTTTAGTAAATAGACTAGAAAAAAGACCAAATGTCTTAACTGCTGAAGAAAAAGAAGATATGAATAATGGCACAGAAGCTCAAGAGGAGGATCAGGATCATTCAACTACAGAAGAAATAGAATTAGATAGAATTCAAAAAGTGCATACGGCCCTTTTAAATGAAATGAATCATGTTAGTACTTGGTAATAAATCTAAACAAAATAAATTTACCAACTTAAAAGTAAATACTTATACTATGCAATTACCGACTTTTGGTTGTCTCTTTATCTGACTTAAGTCTAACCGCTATATATTAAGCCAATGAAGTTATGTATTAGTATTGGTGGAAGTTCGTTAAACTTCTATTCTCATACTATAAATACTTAAAACCTAACAACTTCTTACCTTCTTATTTAGAATCCTTATCCATTGGATCCAACTAGATGACATTTAATAAATCGACGAAGTAACGCGCAAATTGTATATACATATCACTTTTTAGTTTTCTTACTGATAAAAATTTTTTTTCTTGTAACGAATAGAT